TGGCAGGGGGCTGTAGCCAAAATGAGTTTGTCTTTAAGCACTTCTTCCCTTTATCCAAATCAGGCTTTAACATGCATGGATTGCATCATTTCCTATCCAAAGCCATCATTGTTACCTAAAGCTGAAAGATAAACAAAAAAAAGATTAAAAGCACAAGTTTAACTAAAAAACATAACCAAATCATAAGCTAGAATGGTACAAAATGATATACAATTATGAACCGATCAGATACTCCTCATGAAGACTTCGTGCATCGCTTCTCTCTTCTTAGCTTCTTTTGCTGGGAAATTTGGAAGACTAGATGTGACTTTGTTTTTAAAGGCATCAATCCCGACCCAAGGCTTGTTATTAATCGGGCCAATGACTTTTACAGAGAATTCTGGGAGGCCACCACCTGTTTTTCTAGGCTTTCTGCTTCAAGAACTTCCCCCTCCTCCCCTCCTGTCGGTAGGGATCAATGGCTCCCTCCACATGCTAATGCAATTAAAGTTAATTTTGATGGGGCCTGGTCTCCTGGAACTTCTCATGGCGGTATTGGGGTTATTGCTCGTGACGATTGTGGTACCTGGCGGGGTGGAACAGCTTCCCCACTCCACTGTAATTCTGCTCTTGTTGCTGAAGCTGCTGCTGCGCTTTGTGCAGTCTCTTTTGCAAACACCAGAGGTTTCTCCAAGGTGCTGTTTGAATCTGACTGCAAAATTATTGTGGATTGTATACTTGGGAATCACGGAAACTACTCTTGGACTATCCTCCCAATTCTGGATGAAATTTGTAATCTTTCTCAACATTTCGACGAGGTGAGGTGGAAGTGGGTGCCAAGATCTGCAAATCGTGCGTCTCACATGTCTGCGACGATAGGTTTGAGAGCTATGGAACTGCAAAGTTGGGTCATTCGACCACCATTGTCTCTTGTTGGGGTCCTGAATTCGGATGGTTTACCTTGTCCCCCAGTTGGGGTCTCTGTTTTAAACTAGTTTTTCTTTATTGTTATTCGGTTGGGGTTGAGACAGTTTACTAAACTCCGACGGAGTTTTAGATTTGTCTAACCCTTTTTGTTTGTTAGGGGGGCTGCCCCCCATCCTTTTTCCAAAAAAAAAAAAAAAAAAAGTATAAGTTTCACTGAATGTGGCTTGTTTTTTAATTTTGTAGGTTATCACTGATTCTTCAACAGGTTCAATGGCTGATTTTGCTTGTGAAGTGGAAATTACTGAGTAGGTCTTTCATCCTCCTTCTTTCCTTCTTAATTTTCTAGTATGCAGAATGTCCTTTGTAAACTCCACTACCATGCTTCCTCCTTTTAAAGAAAAAAAATTATTATTTATGTAGTTGTGAACCACTTCCAAATGGACGTTTCTATTTAGAGGTTAGATACTAGTGCCTTTTACTTCAATTTGTACTTTTGTGCTCTGTTTACATTGTTTTAATGCATTACAAATGCTAAAACTGGTCTACTTTTCATTTAATGAACAATTATCCTTTATTTTTGGTCTTTATTTATACACCTGAGGTTGCAAAGTAACTAATAGGCTATCTATGATAAATATTTCGATGTCAGAACGTATTTTGTTTGAAGTTATGCTGTTTTTTTTTTTTAATGATCCATTCACTTACTCATAATAATACTATTTCATGCAAATTGAAAGTCGCCGACGGTTTCGTATAATTTGATCTTGGGACCACGTGCCAAACAAAGTGTAGAGATTTGTGTAAAGATTTTCTGGTTTAGAATTCTTTCTTATGTCTTTCATTACTTACAATCAACACATATATATACAAGTTCCTAAGCCCCCCAAGTTAGGCAACCAACCACGTTAGGCAACCAACCTAGTCAAGCCCCCCAAATATTGTAGGTGCCAAACATAGTAGGTGCCAAACATTAATTGACTACATAATCAACACATTAATTGACTACATAATTAACACATTAATTGACTACATAATTAACACTCCCCCTCAAGTTGGTGCAAAGCTGTCACGCATGCCCAACTTGTCAATAGACTCATTGAAAACTCTACTTGATACTGCCTTTGTCAGAATATCAGCCAGTTGATTTTCTGAGTTTACGAACGGAAACTTAATCATCTTTTTTTCCAGTTTTTCTTTGATGAAGTGTCGATCGACTTCCACATGTTTAGTACGGTCGTGTTGTACTGGATTATGTGCTATCTCGATGGCAGCTTTATTGTCACAATATAGGTTTGTGGCATTCACTTGTTTAATGCCAAGATTCTTTAGCAATCTTCGCAACCAAAGCAATTCACATACTCCTTGAGCCATTCCTCTAAACTCAGCTTCAGCATTGGATCTTGCTACAACTCTTTGTTTCTTACTCCTCCAAGTAACTAAGTTACCACCCACAAATGTAAAATATCCAGAAGTTGAGCGTCTATCCGTGATACACCCTGCCCAATCAGCATCAGTGTATCCTTCAAGATCCATGTGTGTATGTTTGGAGAACATCAATCCTTTTCCAGGGGCAGTCTTCAAGTATCGCATTATCCGTATTACTCCATTCATGTGAGCTTCACTTGGTTGATGCATGAATTGGCTTACCATACTCACAGCATAAGCTATGTCAGGGCGTGTGTGGGATAGATAAATCAATCGCCCAACTAACCTTTGATACCTTTCTTTATCAGTAGGAGCTTGATCTGGATACATTCCCAATTTGTGATTCTGTTCAATAGGTGTGTCAGCTGGCTTGCAATCCAGCATTCCTGTTTCTGTCAACAAATCTAACACATACTTTCTTTGGGATAGAAATATGCCATGTTTAGATCTAGCAACCTCAATGCCAAGAAAGTATTGTAACTCACCCAGTTCCTTCATCTCAAATTCACTTCCAAGGAGCTTCTGTAGATTATGCATCTCTTCATTGTCATTACCGGTAACCACCATATCATCTACATAGATGATCAGGGCCGTAAGCTTTCCACCACGACGCTTTAAGAACAATGTGTGATCTGAGCTACTCGGAGTGTACCCAAATCGCTTCATGGAATCAGTAAATCTCCCAAACCAGGCTCGGGGTGATTGCTTTAGCCCATACAGAGATTTTCTTAGCTTGCATACGGTATTAGGACCGGATGTCATAGGAATCCCTGGTGGTGGATCCATATATATTTCTTCTTGTAAGTCCCCATGAAGAAAAGCATTTTTTACATCATATTGCAGTAGTGGCCAGTCAAGATTTGCAGCCAAGGATATGAGAACACGTACAGTATTGATTTTGGCAACTGGTGCAAACGTCTCCTGGTAGTCAATTCCATATGTTTGTGTATATCCCTTGGCCACTAATCGAGCTTTGTATCGGTCTATGGATCCATCAGCTTTGTATTTAACAGTGTATATCCACCGACATCCAACTGGTTTCTTCCCATGTGGTAAAGGAACCATTTCCCATGTAGAATTCTTTTTCAAAGCTTCCATTTCAATTGCCATTGCTTCAATCCATCTAGAATCTGTCACAGCATCCTGCCACTTACTTGGAACACATACAGTAGATAATTGATTGACAAATGATGCATATGACTTTGACAATCTATGAGTGGACACATGGTTATTGATGGGGTATTTAGATTTAGCATTAAGGTCAGGGCAATATTGAGGTTTAGGTTTTCCCCTAGTGGATCTAGGTGGAAGTATATATGGTGCAACATTAGGTGGCTCAGTGATTACCTCAAGTACTTCTTCATCACTAGACGAATGATGCGATGGCAGGGCAGGAGGGGTTGTATTTTGTAGTTGATCATCAGGGGCATCTGGATCACCTTCTGGTTCCATAGTCTCAAGGTCTTCACTGAGGTCAGAACTGAGAAGATCAAGATCTTCAGGATTTTCAACTCTGTGAAAACGCGACTGGTCGCTGGATTCTTCGTGACTGGTCGCCTCATGCACTTCTCCATTTTTTTCAGTATATTTTTCGATCGTCTCTTCAAATGATGAGTCCTTCTCTTCACTCCCCCTCTCCCCCTGAAGAGAAGGGGTCTTGGAAACCACAAAGTAGGCCAAATCTTCATGAAAAGTGGCATCCATAGTGACAAAGAGCTTTTGAGTAGGAGGATGGTAACACTTGTATCCTTTTTGATTCAAGCCATATCCAACGAACACACATCGGAGGGCACATGGATCCAGCTTACTCCGTTGATGAGAAGGAACATGAGCATAAACAACACAACCGAACACACGAGGAGGCAACTTAAGGATGGTAGGAAGAGAGATGTGATGAGCCAAGGTATCTAGTGGAGTTCGGAAATCCAGAACACTACTAGGCACTCGATTAATCACATAGACTGCAGAGAGAAGAGCATGACCCCATAAGTGGTGAGGAACTGATTTATCAAGCATGTAGGCACGGGCAACTTCAAGTAATTGGCGATTCTTCCGTTCGGCGACACCATTTTGTTGTGGAGTGAAGGGTGTGGAGGTTTGATGGATGATGCCTTGGTCCTTGAAGAATTGAGCCAAGGCACCATTTACATACTCCCCACCATTGTCGGACCGGAACACTTTGATGGATGCTTGGAACTGAGTGGTGATCATAGCATGGAATTCCCGGATTGTGGTAGTAACATCACTTTTATGGGCGAGCAAGTACACCCATGTCATGCGGGTGCAGTCATCTATAAATGTAACAAACCATCTTTTGCCATTAGAAGAGATTTTAGCAGGACCCCAAACATCAGAGTGAACCAACTCAAAAGGAAATTCTGTTTTATTATCACTTGTGGGAAATACGGCACGATGGCTTTTGGCCAATACACACGTTTCACACTGAAATTTTTGATCAACTAGACCTCGAAATAAAGATGGAAACAACCGGCGAAGATAAGCAAAAGATGGATGTCCTAAGCGACGATGCCAGAGCCAAATCTGTTGGTGAGCATGTGAGTTTGGAACATGAGTATGAGCGGCACGTGGTGGTGGCGGTGGTGAGACTGTCAAAGAATACAACCCCCCTCTCCGTTTACCATGCCCAATCGTCTCGTGAGTCAAAAGATCCTGAAATGTACAATGAGAAGGATAAAAGGTGGCATAACAATTATGTGAATCAAGTAATTTTCCAACTGATAATAAATTGCAATTAATAGACGGAACTAAGAGTGTATGGGGTAAAACTAGAGAAGGGGAAAGTGATATGGTCCCTTCTCCAGCAACATTAGAAGGGACCCCATTGGCACTAGTAATGTAAGGATGGCGGGACTGAGTAGACAGTTTAGAAAAAAGGTTAGAGTCAAAAGTCATATGATCAGTGGCACCAGTATCAATTATCCATGTAGTGGGATGCGTACCTGAGTTGGGGTTGGAGTTAGAGAGCAAGGCAGGAGACGGGGATGCATCGGTAGTCATGACACAAGCAGCTTTGGGTGTCATATTGCGGGTCTTGTGTGTATCCCACCACTCAGGATAACCATGAAGTTTAAAGCATTTTTCGACAAGGTGATCACCACCACAATGGGTACATTTTCGAGTTCCTTTTGCATCATCAGGTTTAAGGCCACGAGGGGGCAGCCCAGAGGATGCACGGTGGGGTGCCCGATAGGGCTTGACTGCCATGGCACTGCTACTTCCAATCATGGAGGATTGGCGACTATCTTCCTCCATCACAAGTGCATAAGCTTCAAGGACAGGTGGTATTGGGTTCATAGCAAGGATCCGGCTACGGACTGAATCATATTGAGGATCGAGTCCTCCCAAGAAATCGTACACTCGATCGGCATCGAGTGCTTGTTGGTGAAGCGCCACACCATCAGGATTGGTGTGCTTACAAGGACGAAGGACGTCGATTTCCTGCCAAATTAGATGCAATTTTTCATAGAAAACACTCACAGGCTCACCATTCTGAGAGGTGGTGACTGACTGACGGCGGAGCTGGTACAACTTAGAGCTATTCTGAGTAACAGTATAGGTTTTCTGAGCTGCTTCCCACACCTTACAAGCTGTTGGGCAGTGATCAAATAAGGCACGAACATTCTTGGTCATGGAGTTGAGGAGCCATGACTGCACCAAACAATTGTCTTCATCCCAAGTGTCATAGCTGGGGTCATCAATGGCAGGGGCAGATTTTTTACCATTAATGAAACCAGCCATACGCCGACTTGTTATGGCCAAACGAACACTACGAGACCATGCAGAGTAGTTGGACCCATCCAACTTATCTGGAGTGATTTGAGAAGGGTAGTCGTGAGAGGAGCGGACTGGTGGAGTAGAGGAGTTAGCCTTGGAGGAGTCGGAGGCGTCACCCATGAGATAAGTCGGGATAAGTATATGCAGCGGAAGGATAAAACAACCAAGGGAACTCAACACAAGTTTTGTGTTGGAACAATATAGGAGCAAAGAAGTAAAGGCAAGATTAAGTAGAGGCAAGGTAAGGCAAGAATAAGGTAAGAACAAGGTAGAACAAGGCAAGAACAAGGTAAGAACAAGGTTATGCAGAGGCAACCAAAATCGATTGCTCTGATACCATGCCAAACAAAGTGTAGAGATTTGTGTAAAGATTTTCTGGTTTAGAATTCTTTCTTATGTATTTCATTACTTACAATCAACACATATATATACAAGTTCCTAAGCCCACCAAGTTAGGCAACCAACCTAGTTAGGCAACCAACCTAGTCAAGCCCCCCAAATATTGTAGGTGCCAAACATAGTAGGTGCCAAACATTAATTGACTACATAATTAACACATGTTAATTGACTACATCATTAACAGGATCTCTGTTTTAAACTAGTTTTCTTTACTGTTATTCGGTTGGGGTTGAGACAGTTTACTAAACTCCGACGGAGCTTTAGATTTGTCTAACCCTTTTTGTGTTTTGCTTCTGTTTGTGTTCTTGCTGGCTCTGCCAGCTGTGTTGTATTTGCTTCCCTTTCTGGGCTGTTTTATTTACAACAACCTCTTTCAGACCAAAAAAAAAAAAACTCGAGACACAAACGTTGACAATTTAATTATTATTTTGAATTAAACTTTTCGCTTGCAATTTACACCAAAAAGTTTGCACTAGTAATAGCATCTTTTATTTATTTATTTATAACTCTTTTTCATTTTCTTGCTTCTGGGTTCGTTTATATTCAACAGATATACAAGAGGAGTCTGGAATTCCAAGGCAAAAAATAAGAAGCATGGACATCTTGCCCTCAATTATTTCTATAATAATGGAGTACACAGTTAAACCTGTTGGGCGGCAAGTGGGTTATCTAATTCACTACAAAAGCAACTTGAAAAATCTAAGGAGCAAATGGGAGAACTTTGATGCTGCCAAAGACAGTATGAAGCATATGGTTGATGAAGGCGAAAGAAAAGGTAAAAGAGTTCGTACTGACGTCAAAAAATGGCTGACAGAAGCGAATGAGATGATTCAAGAGGCAAAGAAATTATTGGACGATGAAGACCATGCAAAGACAAAGTGTTTCCGTGGAGTATGTCCTAATCTGGTTTCTTATCATCAGGTTAGCAGGAAATCAGCAAAATTAACAGAAAAGATTGAACTCCACGATGACCAAAAAGAAAAGTTTACCATTGTTTGTTACAATCCTCCCCTAGAAGAGATATGTGCCATGCCCTCTCAAAACTACATGCCCTTTGAATCAAGGATTTCAATGGTGAAGGAAATCATGAAGGAACTGAAAAATCCTGATACCAACATGATTGGGGTGTACGGATTGGGTGGTGTTGGGAAGACCACACTCTCCCAAGAAGTTTATAGACAAGCTACGAAAGAGAACTTATTTGATGAGGTGGTTATAGTCTTGGATGTGAAAAAGTATCCAGACTTGGAAAAAAAGGAAAGAATTCAAAAAACAATTGCTGAAAAGTTAGGTATGGATGTTGACGAAACTCAGGATATGGAAGCGAGGGCAAAGCATCTATGGAATAGAATAAAAGACAATAACATTTTTGTAATTTTAGATGATGTCTGGGAAGCAATTGATTTGGAGGCTTTGGGACTTCGCCCAATGGCGACTTGTAAAATATTGTTGACATCTAGAAATCGAGTCTCTGAGATGAATATGGAAAAAGAGTTTCGGCTTGAAGTTTTAAGCGTGGAAGAAAATTGGAGTTTATTTGAGAAGATGGTAGGTGACGTTGTTAAAGATGACCGTATACATGAAGTAGCAACTGAAATAGCCAAAAAATGTGGAGGTTTGCCGGTTTCAGTTGTTGCAGTTGCAAGGTCTCTAAGATCAGCCACTACTTTAGAGGAATGGAGAGTTGCCTTGAGGGACTTCAAAAGTATTGACGAACAGGGATTGACAGAATCAGCCTACTTAACTTTAGAATGGAGTTACAATCGATTGGATGCCAACGAGCTTAAGCCATTGTTCTTGTTATGTGGAATTATTGCAGGGGGTGGCTGTACAATTTCTCTCAGTGACTTGTTGAAATATGCTATGGGTTTGAGTTTGGTGAAAAATGTTGATACAGTGGAAGAGGCACGGGATAAATTGATTTCACTAGCTAAAAAACTTATTAAAGATTATTGTCTGTTGCTAGGCATTGATGATGATGGAGATATTAGAATGCATGAGCTTGTACGAGATGTTGCTATGGTGATTGCATCTAAAGATAATCACGCCATTGCAAAAGCATATGGAGATGAGCTGAAAGAATGGCCAGATAGAAATTCCCTTAAAAAATGCACTCCGATCTCCTTAAAATCTTGCAAGATCCCCAGACTTCCTAAAGTACCTTGGGTATGCCCAGAATTGAGAATTTTTCATTTGGAAAATCATAATATTGATGACTCCTTGGAAATCCCAGGCAACTATTTTGAAGGGATGAAGGAACTCAAAGTGTTGGATGTAACCAGACTGCGAATTCCGTCAGTGCCGCCATCTCTTCAATCCCTAACAAATCTTCAAACTTTGTGTTTAGATCAGTGCGTGTTGGGGGACATAGCTCTAGTTGGACAGCTACCAAACTTGAAAATTCTTAGCCTTATACACTCCCAGGTTAAAGAGTTGCCCAAAGAAATAGGGCAATTGACTCATCTACAATTGTTGGATTTGACTGATTGCTCTGAACTTGTACTGATCCCAGCTGGCGTTATATCAAGCTTGACAAGTCTAGAAGACTTGAGAATGGGAAGCTTTAAGGAATGGGAAGGAGGTTTAAATGATGGAAGAAGTAATGCGAGCGCGTCAGAGCTGAAACAATTGCGTCAACTAACTGCATTAGAGATACGTATTCCAGATGCTAAGCTTCTTCCAGCAAACATGTTCTCGGATACAAAGTTAGAAAGATACACCATACTTATTGGTGATTGTTGGCTATATCCTAAAAATTACAGAACCTCCTCTAACAAGTTAAAACTCAAGCTCACTACGAACAGTCAATTCGACCAAGGTATAAAATTGCTGCTAAAGAGATGTGAACATTTGGACTTGGATGGGGTGGAGGCTGCAAATATGATTTTCTATATATTAGCAAGTGACAGTGGTAAACAACTGAAGAATCTCCATGTCCAAAACAATGATGTTGTTACATCTCTCATTAACTCGAGTCATGCCTTCCCCAACTTGGAGTCACTATCTCTTTACAACCTTGTTAATTTGGAAACTGTATGTTGTGGCCAACTCATAGCTCAGCCTTTTCAAAAGTTACGATATTTGACTTTGCGGAATTTGCCAAAGCTTATTGGTTTCTCCTCCAAAGGGAGCACGTCAGTTGTAAGTACAGAGGCCGAAGAAATCATTTTGGAGAATGAAATTGGTGGACCCACGAAAGTTTTCATGAATGGGGAGGTACGTTTTGCGGTTTCATATGCCCAGCCTTTCTACATATCATTCGGATTTGTTCTATATTTATTTCTTAACTAATTAGTTGCTTTTGTATATATTTCATTTTGGTCATTCTTTCTGCAGCTAGAAAATAATCCATTTAAATAATGCATATTCTTTCTGCAGGGATTTTGTTGTACTAGGATTGAAATTATATCCAAGTTACAATTCATTTAAACGGTATATTAATTTATTATTTTTTTATTGAGAAAAAAATGGTATTAGCTTTTATTTAGTGTACAATATTCAACGATTCATATTATGACGGAAGCATGATCCACTTTTTCTTGAAAGTCTATTTATTAGTGTACAATATTCAATGATTCAATAAAAATGTGTTATATTTTAAATTAATTGACTAATAAACTTTTGAGGCCGCTTTTTCTTTTTCAGATACATTTTTACTCCACAAGGACATATTAGACCTTTACTTTTTTTCAACTCATTTTGAAATTTATACTACTGATGAGCATGTAAATTGTCATTTCCGTAATTAAACATGAATTGTGTACTATACACAGGTTCTGATACCCAACTTAACACGCTTGATCTTGAATCAATGTGATGGTTTAAGATTCTTGTTTTCTTGTTCCATGGCTAGACGTCTTGAGCAACTCGAACATCTTGAGATATCCACATGCCAAATGATGGAAGAGATAGTCTCAGCAAGTGGATACAATCAAGAACATACAGATAACATGTTTTCCAAGCCTCACTAGATTATTCTCCGGAAGTTATATTGAATTTTCATTATTGGAGACATTGCATATTGAGGATTGTCCTAGACTGGGGACATTCATCTTTGATAGAAAGAGTGAAATTACTTCAATGGGCAAAGAAAATGACGATAGGAACTCCAACGAGAATCTTGAGACTGTTATACCACACTTTCTTTTTGATCAAAAGGTGAATTATAAATTTCTTTCCCATTCTTTATGCATTTATATATTTTAGTGAAAAAAGGTTTACTGACTAGTTTATGAGATGAATATATATACAGGTAGGATTTCCATAGATATTAACATCCATGTTAATATGCTTGGAGCGGTTGATCATCTATGACCTACCTGCACTGATGACAATATGGCACAACCAACTTGCTCAAGACTCTTTTTGTAGACTGAAAGAAGTTAACGTTTACAGATGCCAAAATCTAATAAATATCTTTGCACCAAGTATGATGGGAAGATTGAATGCTCTATACACATTACAGATATGGCAGTGCCAGTCACTACAAGTGGTATTTGAACTGGAAGGAGTGTTTGAAGCATATGACACGTCAACCACTCAGTTGAAAACTTTTGAGTGCCCAAATCTTGATTTTGTTGAGATAGATGCGTGCGAGAGGTTGATAAATATATTTCCAGCCTCGGTGGCCAATAGTCTTGAACAACTAACGAAGTTGAGTGTTGAGAACTGTGGTGGTTTGAGATTCTTGTTTTCATCTTCCATGGCTAGAAGTCTTGTACAACTCAGAAAGCTTAAGATATCCAGGTGTCAAATCATGGAAGAGATAGTACAACTCAGAAACGAATCCAGTGAGGAAGATACAATTCATAACATGTTTAGTCAGCTACAATATC